CCCCTATCATTTGGGGGCTTAATTTTTTTCCCCTTCCATCTGTATCGATCTGAGTGTATACATACTCATATGCTTTTGGTAGTAGTGGTTTCCAGTATCTTTGGTCTAGCAAGTATTTCATGTTAGTGCTACACTGTGCCTAATCTGAGAAGATTGCCTCATGACCTAAAGAAAAATGTTTGCATGAACTTTTCCCCCAATGGTGAATTTTAAATTTTGGAAGTGAGAAAGGATCCTCACTGAGCATGGCTAACCAGAAAGCAGAAAACAGATGATCCAAGTTTCAAATGCTATTAGGTTGTGGATAAACAGGGAAATAGAGACACTACAAAGTAGTGAAAGGAAGGCTGACCTCATAAAATGGAAAAGGAAAGGGCAATTGCTGCCACAAGTACACTGGAAAATAGAGAAGTAAATTCAGATAACTGTGGCAGGTAGTGGAGTGGGGAGAAAAAGAATAAAAGTTGAAGATTGGAAAAGGTTAAAAGGTTTGCCTAGGCTGGATAATATAAATGTAGGCTTTGGCATCAAATACCTGGGTTTAAATTCTTACATGTAACTAAGTGGTGATCTTCAGCAATTAAGAGTGTGAGCTGAGCATCAGTATTTTCACCTAATTTACAATATGAGGATTACATAAATACACTGCTTAGAACATAACATATTCAGTAATTGACAGCTTTTATAATTATGTTTAAGAAGGGTCCAAAATAGAACTGTTGGCCTACCAATGTTGGCAGTTTCAGAAAAGAGCAAATAGCTATAAATCAAAGAAAGCACAGTCTCTCACAGGATAGAGAAAAGAGTGAAAAAGATTCACACTCAAGGCCCCAAACAGTGAACTTTTTTCTAGATACTAAAGTTTAAAACCATACATCTTAACAGTGATGTTATTTGACCACTAGGTGGCAATGATACAGATGAATTTCACTAAGGTTAATTTTAAAAACAGCAAATCCAAACCAAAATTCCAAGCTTTTTAGTACACATTCTCGTAGAAAAATAAAAAATCATTTTATATATAATTAATTTATAATATAAAGTGTAATTGTCTGACTCAGTATCTATGTTAACTTCTGATGCGTTTTTCTTCTGAACTATGGCAATTCACTCAACACATACAACTTTTAAAGTTCTCATCACAGATATGCTTTAAAAAAGATCTAGACATATATCATACAGGTAACAGAAATTACGGAAAGCTAAAAATCTTTCTCAAGTTTTAGAATTCTAAGAAAGACACTACAAAATGCAATGTATTTCAATGACAATGTTAAACCTTAAAAAATGATTGAGAGAGAACAGTTTTACTTTATTTTTTAAATTTAAGGCCAAAACATTAAACAGTATGGAGACACTTGTTTTTTAAAATCACAAATTAAATTAATATTCACATTTGTAAAATCTTTTCATGTCTTGAATAAACATACTAAATTTACTAAGCAAATTTATCAAAATTCTGACAAATTCTAGAAGAAATTACATGTTGTTACAAATATCAAAATAATGATGAAATTCCTTAGAATCTGGCACTTTCCATAATTATTTCCACTCTCTTCATAAAACAGGTCATAACCTATGGCTTATTAAAAACAATAAAAACTTTATTCTTTTCATATGAAATAAAAGAAGGTATGAAAAACTTTTTCAAATTATAGACAATATCAAGTACACAGTAAAAAAAATAACTTTCAAGTTCCCAAGATGTTCCTCCACATAAAAGTTGGAGATTATACAACCAATGTAACATTACAAAACCTATACTATAATTAGATGAATAAATAATAAATCTATACTGTTACCCAATTCATAATAAAAAAGATCCAATTAAAAGAAGCCTATTTATTCCCTTTGTATAAATAACCTAAATTTCCCCAAAACTTCAACTCCCAGTTTTCTACAAATGAATAGATCAAAATATCTTTTATATACCAGCTTTCCAATAGTTTTCTCACTAATTCAGCAATCACTTCCTATATTGTATTTATTTCAGTTCCAGAAAAATCTCCGTTGCCACCCAAACAAATGTAACAGAAATGTGATTTCTAAGATATTTTTGTAGTTCATAGATCACTGTTTCCTCATTACTGAACTTCATCTTGAATTATTATAGATCACCCTGAAATCTAACAACATAGATAGGTCCTCATTCCATCAGCATATACAGATACACAAAACAAAACCATTTAAGATGGTTAACACAAGAAAAGATTACTGCGGCAGCCCTCACAAATCAATCAAAGCTCTCAGGAAAGTGCTCAATCTGTTCACTATTATCTGTAACTTTTGCTAGAAGATTTAAGGAATGCCACTGTTACAGGAGGGATAATTGTAAATCTATAAAAGTGAATACATGTGTACATGTAATTTGTATCTATACAAAACCAGCTTTGGATTATCTGTGCACATAAAGGGACAAAAGACACAGATGATGCAAAAAACAAAATCCTCAAACCACTTCAGATACACTTTTGTATCTGTATTTCATAGGACTGTGTCTGAGAATTCAGAACACCAAGAAAATTAAGCCATGATTGCAAAGAGGTTAAGAGTTACAAACAAAATCACCCAAAAAATGATAACATTGAAATGCCATCATTGACTTGAGTTGGTCTTCTGTTTATTTCTGATAGTGGCTCTAAGTTTACGTATCACCAGTCTATCAGGCAGAATCATATCACCTTGTTGTTCTAGATAATCCAATAAATTTTCAGTCCATTGGAGAGCAGTTGCATGATTGATATGTTTCTCTGGAATCAGTTCTATTTCTTCCTCATCATTTTCACTGGATTCATCTGTCTGGCCTTGCGCTCTTCTGATGATTTCGCTATCAGTTAACACTTCATAACCTGGTTCAGTACTGTCCACTTGAAGCCATTTTTCAATGTTCTCAGTAGTCACATTTTCCAGTCCTTTGGTATGTTGTAAAATGGTGGCCACAGTAGCCAGTGAAATATCTTCTACATCAAAGTCCAAACCTTCTTTCTCCTCTATGGTAGGGAGAATCTTCTTCCATGCTCTGCTAATGGTAACTGGCTTTACTAAATTCCATGCCATTGCTACTTCATAAAGTGCATCTAGCAGAGTTAGCCTTTTCCAGAATGATCTCAGGTCATTACCCTCTTCCAAGTTGTTCTGGAGAAGACCTGCACGATAGTTTCTCTTCATTGTCTCTATCACTCCCTGATCCGAGGGCTGAATCAACGAAGCCACATTAGGTGGTAAATATTTAGCAAATATTTGGCCGTCATCTGACCTCAGGACATTTTCATTTGGATGTGTTGGTGAATTATCCAACAAGAGCACAGCCTTTTCCTGCAGGCCTTTGGATCTTAAGTACTCTCGAACTTGTGGCACAAATATCTTATCAAACCACTGTCGGAAAATGGAAAGATCCATCCATGCACCTTTCTGGCTGAAATAAGAGACTGGCAGGTTTGAGGTGTCAGTTGACTTGAAGGAGCGAGGTTTCTTTGCTTTCCCCACAACACAAAGTTTAAGTTTGTGTGAACCTGTTGCATTGGCACAACACATGATCGTGACTCTTTCTTCAATTGACTTGTGCCCAGAGACTGTACATTTACCTTTGATGACTGAAGTCCTAGAAGGTAGGCATTTCCAAAAGAGCCCAGTTTCATCTGCATTGTAGATTTGTTCAGGCTGCAGATTCTCTCGTTCAATAAAGTCTTGAAAGTTGTTACAAAAATCGTCCACAGCAGTTTCATCTCCATTTAATCTTTCGTTTCTAATGTTAATTTCTCTAATGCTGTGCCGCTGCTTAAAACGAGTTAACCAACCAGCAGAGGGGTTAAAGTCACCATCCATTCCCAAAGCATAAAAGAAGAACTCTGCCCTTTTTGCACAAATGGGTCCGGATACCGGATTGCCTTTCGCTCTTTGCTGGTTGAACCATTCCAGCATTGCTCTGTCTAGTTCCTCATACATGGATGGCTTCATAGATTTCCTCTTGGCCAGAAGACTTGTGGAGTCAGAACTGCTTGCGTAAGTTATGATCTTTTCCTTATTTTTTCTTATATCCCGAACTGTGGTCTCACCAATTCCGTAAATCACTGCCAGTTGTTTGGATGAACCTCCGTCTTCAAGTTTCTTTATTATATCAAGCTTATCTTTAATAGTCAACACCACTCGCTTCCGTTTCCCGGACATGGTCAGACTCTGGGACTCTTCCCCCACACTCACACTGAAGCAATCCAAAAAAATCCTTCTCCCACAAAAAGACTCACTTGAACACAGAGTCACACACTCAGTCTTGCAGCCTTACCAGGAACCCGGCGGGCCTGACCCCGTCCCCGGCTGAGCTGGGCTGGCAGAGACTGCAGAGGAAGGTGAGAGGGAAGGAAGTTTGACGGAACAGGCCTTTAACTTAGATGGGCAGCAGAGGAGGCCCCAAGTCACCGCGGTTAATCTGGATTACAAACATTCGTTGTATTCCCCCAGCGGCCACGGGAAAGACTATAACCTCATCGTTAACCACAAACCTCCTTCACGCCCGTATTCCGAATAAACGCCGGTCCCTAAACCTTGCCACACCCCAAAGTTACAGGGAGCGGAAGAGCCAGGGAGTCGCGGACGGGCCCCCTTCCCCAGGGGGACGGCTGCTTCCGACCCCAGCAGCCAACCCTTTGCTCCGCAAGCCCCACTTCCCCGCGCTGGGCTCGGGCTGGACGCTCCTCCCGGCCCCTCGCAGCCCGCCCGGCCCCTCTCCCCACCTCAGCAAGAGCCGGGACCCCGCACCGCTCCCTGACTAACGCGCGGCGACCGCTCCGCCCCCCAGCACACGCTCCCGGAAGACGCCCCCTCCCGCTGCCCGGCCCCGCCCCTTGCCCCACCCAGAGGCGGGACTTCCCCTGATTCCCGGAACGAGGCGGAGCGTCGCCTGTGCGGAGTGGGAGCCTGGGGCGGAGGCGCTTTGAAAGGTGAGGAAGCGGAGGCGGCGCGGGCCAGCTCGGGGCGGGGACTCGCTCCGGCGCCCGCCGCTCATAGCTTACGAGAGGGGCGGGGGAAGCCGCGCCACCCCGCGGGCCCGGAGAAGAATTCCCGCGGGCGCTCTCGGGGTGGGGGAAACGGTCTTGAGAGCGTCTCCCCAGAAGGGCTGCTTGGCATTCGCTGCAGCGGGCGGGGTGCAAGTTCCTTCCGCGGCGGGAACGTGGGCGGGGCTAATATGGGGCGCTCGAGTGCGGGTGATGGCGCGCGTTTCTGGGTTTTCCGGACCCATGTTTGTTTTCTAAGTGCGGAGCTCCTCTAGGGTCTCGGTTTGTGACGTCCAGCGCACGTCATCCCGAAGGGTTGTTCCAGGGTCCCATTTCCTAGCTACGGGGTTTCTCCCCGCTTCTGGAGGCGGAATAGCGGATCCGCGGGAGTCCTGCGCCGGGTGCCTGCGTCCCGCCAAAAGAGCCAGGTTTGTAATCATGAAAATGAGTCTGGTGTTTACTTTCGAGAGGATCTGTTCCTCCTTCTGCCGGCCGTCCCTGCTGGATTTAGCGAACCACCTTCGTTCAGTGTTGCAGATTTTAATGAATACTATAGTTGTCGGGGATGCCAAACTGGCAGGATCTACTCTGCGAAATTGTGGAGTATTGGACGGCGATAATAAGTGGGGGAAATTGGCTTTCTTTTCCTTATGTGTTTCTTCAGCTTTCCCTATGTCTGCCGTGTTGTGCTGCCCTGTTTTCCAGCCAGTGGAAGAACTGTGATAAATGTATCCACAGCAATGTGATAAGAACATACCTGTAGCCCTTAAATCATGTATTAGGACGGCTCGGTTTGATGTCCCTAGTAATTTCATTAGATTGTGAGCTCCTTGGGAGCAGAGACAGTGTTGATTTTTTTCTAGTTACGCCACAGCTTCCTGCTTGTGCTGGCACGTAGAATCCGTTAAATTACTATTTCTTTGGCTTCTTAAGTTCTCCCCTCTAAACTGTCGTGTAAAAGCAAACATCAAGACGGGGTGATGTTTTACAAATAAACAGGAATTCATTCTTTCTGGTAGAATTTCAAGTAATGGCTGGGGTTCTACTGCACTTCAGAGAGCTTAAAAGTGTAAAACACCACCTAGTCGGCTATTCCTAGAATGAATCTTTTTTTTTGAGGATTCATCAACCTCAAAGCCAAAAGAAAGGACATTTCTTCTGATGAGAAATTCAAGTGGCATCAAAGTACCCTTTCTTAGTTGTAGTTACTGTGTTAGAGAAAGAACACAAGCAATAGGAATTATCACCTCTACATTCTCTGGCAGTTAGCATAGCTGTGTATGTGCATCTTGTATGATAGTAACCATGAAGCACAAAAGTGTGATAGTATTGATTGTCTTCATTCATTCTGATATAATGCTTTCTGTTTGGAATCTCTTATTTCTTGTTGCCCAGAAGTAAGGTATCATTAAAGAAGCTTCATTGAATTTTCATTTCAAGAAATTGAGTGTATACTCAGCATATACAGAAATTACCTCCATTTGCATGGATTCTCTTTGGAATGAATTCTAACAATTAAGAAATGTCTTATCCATCAACCTAGCTTTACCTTCTCATTTCTCTCAGGTTCTGTTCACTCACCTTTTCCCTCTGTCATCATTCTTTCCTCCCCAGCTAACATAGTAAAAGTATTCTCAATTTTTGAGAAAGAGAAGTCAACCATATTCAAATTATCTTCTTTTTCAATGACTGAATTTTTGACATTATTGATACAAGTGGTAATTTTGAAATACAAGAGACCCTGGAAATTTGGTAGTTGGCCAAATGAAACTTGATTTGTTTTAATTAAATAATGTGCCTCTTCAAACATTCAACACTGAAGATTTCCAAAATAATTTTTTTTCATCAGAGACTGCCTTTCTTTGAAATTTTTACTTTTCAACCCAATGAGGAATCCCATAAATTTTGCGATCAGTGTCATCAATAAAGATGAGAGAGGGAAGTCTGCAAATTTTCATCTTTTCAGCACATTATTTTCTTGCCTATTGGATAAATAATTTCCAGAAGTTTCTGGCCTAACTTATGTGCACTAAAATTCAGTTACATAATTTAAAAAGCATGTTTGTAAACTTGAAACTATTTTAATGATTATTTTCTGAAACTAAAACTTAGCATGAATGAGAGATAAAATAATGACTTTTTAAAGGCATAATTTTTACTACCTTGTACAAATATAACATTGGCAGCAGTCACTGTAGCACTGGAAGGAAAATCAAGAGACCTGGTTTCTAATCCCTCCTCTGTCACTAACAAGCTCCGTGATATTCGGTAAGTCATTCAACTCTATGTCCTTGGCTTTGATTTTTATAAATGAAGATAAATAATATCTTTCTTCTGGGAATTTAAAAATATATGTGAAAATGTACTGAAAAATTAATGTACAGATATGGTTTTTTATAACTTAACTGCAGTCATAGGTATTTTTGTAGTGTGACAATCTTAACTATTTTATCATTGTCATAGGAATCACCTATTGATATGATAAATAACTGTCTTTTGAGTATGGTATAGTTTTATAAGTAATCATCTAGTGTATATGAAACTGCTCTTGAGCACTAATAAAATCTTCCTTCACTTGAATGTTCTTACTGTCCATGTTTGCTTTAAGGTATCTACTAAAGCCATGTTTGCCATTTGTTTTCATAATTTTTTTCATGATTTCTCCTAGTTCAGACAGATTGATTGAAAAACCTTCTTACTACAGTGTAAAACACATGCACACTTCACTTATGCAGATTTAACTATATATGTGCTTAAAACTTAATTGTAGTACATGCTTTCAAAATATAAGCTGCCTAGTTTATCTGGTGCTTAATTAAAAAAAAACTAATATTTTTAAAACATGGAGGTGAAACAGGGTGGACATATTTTGATGCAGTATGTTATGCAAAAAAAAAAAAACTTTAAAGAGTATTTTTAAAGGTGATATTTTCAAAAAGGGTAATTTTGACCACACACAGTTTTCTTCTTTGCTGATTTTAATATAAGCCTTCTGTAGGATGTATCCCAAGTGTAATTTCAAATAGCAGAATATTTGGTCTATTGACTAGGATTTGTTAAATTGCTATTACAGTGCTGAATATATCTTGCAGCAGTTATTGTGATAAGGCCAGACTTGAGCCTACACTATAATTTCTGGTATATAATCTTAACAACTATTGTTCTGATTTTATATGAGTTGTTACCATTATAGAAGTAGTCACATTGCCTTATAAACATAACAGAATTTGTACAATTAAAAGAGAGGATATCTCTCCCTTGTGCCCCCCCCCCAAAAAAAAGTAATCATCTTGGGAAGCTATAAACTTGGTTCAGTAATACTGCCATTGCTCAAAAACATGTTGGTATTCTATTTTTGAAATTACCTTCAGAGTTTGAAGCACATTTTAAAAATTCCTTTAATAGTAGTGAATCTTTATCTTTTGAAATTGGATTTAATTTCTGGAAGCTGCTCACAGTCTCTTGTAACTGAGACAGCTGAATAAAGAGAGTATTTAAACCACTCTTTGGGATAAAAAATGAAGTGTGATTATGTTTTTATATTTATATATAGCTTTGATACTATGGTTTGTAGAAAATCTCTAGGAATATTCTGTGCTATGGTGGAAATATTAGAATAATCAGCCTCAGAAGCCTCTTTGAAGGAGACAGCACTCAGTTGAATACATAGGCTCATCTACATGTATTATGAGGTCAGTCTCATTACACTGTGATCATCTTTCTAGTTTCCCTAGCAACCACAGAAGTATATAAATGCTCCTGTGTTACTGTTTTTCTAGTTATCTTACTTGTCTCTTAGTGTTCCTTTATTTGTGACAATTTTAATGGAGTTCATCCTTTTCTGAATCAGAAATTTACAGAATTTGTTTTCCTTTCTCAATACCATGCTCTGTTTCGCCATGAAAACTTTTTCGTTTTGTCACCAGACTACATTATTGGATTGTAAGTAAGTATTTTGTTGGATTATATTGTATCTTTAACTTTGAGTGGTTTAAAGTCATTGACATTTTACTAAAGTAACAGTATATAGAGGCTGCAACCTTAGCGGATAGGTTATCTCTCAGCTTTGCACCGCTTTTTACGTCAATTACTACTTTATAACTTTCTTCATATAAATTGATCGATCCTTTATGTTATAATTCATGTCATTTCTCTGTTCAGAATCCTCCTTTGCTTACAGGAGAAAATATTCTGGTAACCCCACTCTACTTCTATACTTGCATCTTTTTTCCAGCATAAAGCATTTTTTCACCCCTTTTTAGTCACACTTATTTACTAAACACACCATAATGTTCTTTCTCAGTGCCGAAGTTTTGACCTTACCATTTTTATCTGCCTGAAATCCCTTTTTTCTTTTATTGTTTTTGTTCAGATATAACCCATCCTTCAGAAGCCTATCAGATCATATCTGTTCAAGAAAATCTGCAGTGAAGCTCTTGCAGTTCCCTTCTTTCTGCACCTTTACTAACTTTCATTGCAGTTATTTTTATTCATTTGGTACTAAATGAATACTAGCTTTCATTTGTCTTATTATATGTTCATATGTTTTAGTTTTACACGTGAATAATCTAAAGAACTGGACCATGAGTTTTTTTTGTTTGTTTTTTTTAAGATTTTGGGTAATTGGGAGAGGGGAACAGCGTTGGGGAAGGGGATCAGCCAAGTTGTTGTTCTTCAATCTTCATTGTGGAGGGTACCAGTCGCCATCTGGCTTACCGTCAGCAGCCCGTGGCCTCTATAAGCTCAAGGCACTGTGTTCAATCTTAGTTACTGGTGGGCGTAGCCACCATCCCATGCGGGAGTCAAACCAGCAGCCTCGTTAAGAGCACACCCTCCACTGAACCATCCGAGCGCAGCTCATCTCAAGGTGCGGAGTTCAGTCTTAGTAGCGGGTGGGCATAGCCCACCATCAAACAGGCAGTCTTGTTGTTACACCAGCTGAGCCATCCTGCCACATGTTGGCATCTCAGCGACAGCTCAGCTCAGAAGCAGCGTCACTGGCCCATGTGGGAATCAAGCCGGCAGACCTGTTGCTCAGAGCTCGCGCTCTTGAGCCAACTCTTAACCAACTGAGCCACTCGGCCAGCCCAGGACCATGATTTTTCTATGTATCTCTTTCAACACAACATATAGAATAATTCAGAATAGATGTTCATGCAGTGTTTTTCTGGATGTTCAGTACATTATTTGTTAAATAACTGTTCTGCCATCTTCACTCAGATATTTCATGTGATGTTCTCTTTGTGAACCATTTTATGATACCAAATGTAGTTTGCAGAATAAATGTATTCATTGTTGTAATCTGGTTTCATTATTATATTCCTAACAACTTTATTTTGTAGAAGCTTAAGTGAAGTGGCACATGTTAAAAGACATGAAACAAGGAAAAATTCTAGAACTCAAGAGTGTGAGCAGAAATCTCGACTTGATTGGAGGCGGACTAGAAGAAGTATTACCGCACAAATAGCTGATAGTGATGAAGACCTTGATAATGAGGAAGAGCTTGATAGTGATGAAAATGTTGACAATAATGACAGTGTTGACAGTGATAAAGAGCTTTCTAGTAACAAGGAACTTGATAGTAATAAAAACCCAGAAAATGAAGGAGAGCTTAAATTAATTAAAGTTGGAAGTGAAGGCAACGACTGTGAGCATCTCATTAACACTGGCAACGTTTCAACATATGAAGAAGAAGAAGATAAAACTAAACATAGTAGTATTGACTTACCAGATTGTGAAAAGCATTCAAGTCAAGAGGTGGAGGAGCTCGACAAAAACACTGGACACATAACAGAGGAGGATTTAGAAGAAGAACATATTAAGCGAGGGTCGAGAAAAAGGGCCTTCTCTGTGATGAATGACAGTGATGAGAGTGATGACAGTGATATCCTAATACCTAGAAAAGGAGGTGCTAAATGTGTACGTAGAGTGGTTGAAGATGAAGGTTCTTCAGCAGAGGTGGAGCAAAAACAACCTGAAAAAACTTCAGCTACAAAAAAGCGAGAACAATTCCAGAAACTGCAAGAACTCTCAAAACAAAGATCTCATCAGAGACGCAATAGTAGTAGAGGTTTTGAGGTGTGTTATATTTTATTGGTTTTGTTGCTGTTTTAAATTTTTACTTAAAGTATTTTTATATAAAAACCAAAGTGCTGAGCCTGTTCTATTTATCAATAATTCTAGAATTTATTTTTCAATGAAATATCTATGAACATATTTAATTGCAGTATTGTATCTAATATATTGTGTTATCGTGAGCCTCTCAGTTCATCACTCTCTTTCAAAATTGAAAGACTGTTTTGTATGGTCTTTCTATTTTTATCTTCTACTTATAATCTTAGTATCCATTTTAAATATTTTACATTACTTACCAAGGTATATTATCTCCTTCCTAATTTCAAATTTCAACATTTACCACAAGATTTTTTTTAACCTTAACATACGAAATTTTTATGGGTCATTTTTTGGGGGGCGGTTTCAGATTTAATCTTTTAATTTCACATCCATAGTGACAGTATTAAAGTACAGTTTACTGAAGGAATATGTTTGAATTTAATTAGGACTCAGAAAAGGAACCCTGTACAAACAGTGATGAAGATGATGATGAGGAGGAGGAGGAGGAGGAGGAGGATTGTGAATCTGATGAAGATGGAAATGATTATGTGTTAGATGGCTTTGTAGTACCAGATAAAGAAGGTGACGAAGAGAATAATAGCCAGCAAGGCGAAAAATTGACTACATCACCACTGAAATTAGTAAAACAGAATTCTCTTTGTAAGTTAAATATCATGAAAATGTTTTATGACTGTTCTAATTATGATATATCAAGTTTTAAGTCAGCCTTTTACTATCATGTTCTAAATCATTTATTAGGAGCTGTGGTTTCATTTTCAGGTAACTTTAATTTGTTAGTCTGGCAATAGTTTATTCTAGTGGCTTCAGAAACCCTTTATATACTTAAAAAAATTTAAAAATCACTAAGCTTTTTTTGCTGTGGGTTATAGCTATCAACATTTACTATTGTAGAAATACACAACAGAGAAGTTTAAAATAATATTAATTAATTGACTTAAATAACTAATAAACTCATTGTACTTTAACGTAGATAACATTTTTATGAAAAATAACTCTTTTCCCCCAAAAGAACAAAAAAAATGCATTGTTTTACATTTTAATATTTAATGACTAGCTTAATAGAAAGCAGCTGGGTTCTTATGTCTGCTTTTGCATTCAATCTGTTGTGATGTTTTTGTTGAAGTAGATGAAAACAATTTGCTTCAATTAGGTAACTGGGAAAGAGAAAAGTATTTTTAAAATAATTGTGGATATTCTCATTTGACACAACACAAAAATTCAACAAGTGATAGTTTCTTAAAAGTTAGTTGCAATATGGAATCTGAAACCATGGAAATGAAATTTTAGTACTTATATTTCAGCCAATTGGTCTGTTTTATACTTTGAACAGATCTTTTGCCCGTGCGTGATTTTGTAACATCATGCACTGGTCATTTAGAAAATATTGGTTTATTGGGTTATTCAGATATTCCAAATATTGACACATTTCATTATAAAATATTTTTAAATCACATTTGTTAATATCACCATCCATCTCATTAGAAAATTCTTCAGGTTTCAGAAGCTCTCAAGCTCACAGTAGCAGATACAAGTTTTTCAAAATTCTAATATCTGCTTTAAAATCTGTTTTTTATCTTTGGCAACAAAAACTGTGAGTTCTTGAAATTATGGGTTCCCCTTGTTCTTTTTTGAGAAAATATTTGACAAATGGCAGAATTACCATAGCTTGTCAGTCCTTTCAAGTAAACACAGTGTTTCATGACAATAGAGGCTTTTTCAGCTCCCAACTCAGTTTTTCCTCAAAGTACGATCAATCATATTTTGTTGTGCAGCATACTTCCCATTTCATCCCATTGACTGCTAAAAAGATGGATTCTCAAGACTCAAGATTTAATAACATTAATAATTTTAAATTTTACTGCTCCATCAAGGACACTCTTAATTGAAAGCTTTTTTACTGCATGCATAGCAGTGATGACTATAATAATTACTAGTAGTTTGGTGCCACTGCCATGATTCATCTTAGGGGGCCAGGTGCCTTACCTATAGTTACTTTTGCAACATCAGTGAAAAAATCTGAACAAGTTGAAAACACAAATGATTATCTTTGCATTACTGCTTTGACCTCACAGATCCCCTTAAATAGAGTTGGGGACCTACAGGGGTCTACCTACCAGACCACTGGTCTGTAGAACTGGTTTTATCAGGATTATTGATTGAAGCACTGCTCAATTAAACCTATCAGAGATAGGAAATTAGAATCTTTTATATTTTCATATAGTTAATGAAACTATAAATAGAACCCTGAAATTTAGGTATCTTTATGTATTATTCTGATCTCTATAATTGTGCTTAATTCAAAGTTTTTTTTACAACTCTGGTAAAAACAGACTGTTGGATGTATACTTTTTTTTTCTTAAAAAATGCATCTTTTCCAATTTTCTAAAAAGGGCATAGTTACTAAAATTAAGTGTAACATGGTTTAATTTAGATCTCATGATTTATAATAAAATAGTAGATTGGGGTATGAATAAAATTTCAAGAAATTTTTCAGTTATAGAGATGCCAGTGATAGACATTTATGTATTGAAAACTAATGACTACTTTCCTTAGATCAACAGGCATTGGTTCACGTGCTACCTGGATATTTGAATCTTAGGGAAACTCAATTAGGGGATATCCCATCATTCTGAATTATAATATCTAGAATGTGATAGAACATTTGCTCAGAGATACGGACTCATACCCACTTCTGCTAATTAGTGAAAATAAAAGTAGCATGTGGGAACTATTTTAACTTCCTTCTCTAATCTACACTTCTATGCTTACTTTTGCTTTTTAAGAGCAGTTGTAGAAGTACTGAAAAGTACAGAGAGTACCTTTATAAACCCTCTCACACAAAATATCCGTTATTAACATCTTGCCTTAGTTTCGTATGTCTGGTATGATGGGCCAATATTGATACATTATTATTAACTGTAGTTCATAGTTTACCTAGGGCTCACTCCTCTTTGTGTTATACAGCCTATGGATTTCTTTACTTTCTTTTTTTTTTTTTTTTGGTATTTAAAAAAATTTATTGTTCAGTTATAGCTGACAAAAAGTATTGTATTAGTTTCAGGTGTACTACATAGTGATTAGACATTTATATACCTTATGAAGTGATCACCACAATAAGTCTAATACCCATCTGACGCCAACATATTTATTACAATATCATTGAATATATTCCCTATACTATGCTTTACATCCCGGTGACTGTTTTTATAACTGTGAATTTGTACTTCTTAATCCCTTCCCCTTTTTCACCCAATCCCATACCCCGCTCCCATCTGGCAACCATCAGTTCTCTGTATCTATGAGATTGCTTCTGTTTTGTTTATCATTTACATTGTTTTTTAAATTCCACATATAAGTGAAATCATATATGTCGTTCTGTGTGTCTCTGATTTCATTTAGCATAATACCATCTAGGTCCATCCATGTTGCAAATGGCAAGATTTCATTCTTTTTTATGGCTGAGTACATTTTATGGATTTTGACAAATGTATAATGGCACTACAGGTATCCACCATTGCAATGTCATACAGAATAGTTTCATTGTCCTAAAAATCGCCTGTGCTTTACCTATCCATCCCTCCCCCCTTTGAGCCCCTTGGCAACCACTGGTCTTTTTAATGTCTCCACAGTTTTACTTCTGACAAAATGTTTTATAGATGGAATCACACAGCATATAGCCTTTTCAGATTGGCTTCTTGTACTTAATAATAAGCATTTAAGTTTCCTCCATGTCATAATGTGGCATGATACCTCATTTCTTTTTATCACTGAATAATAAATATTCCATTGTATGGATGTACCATGGTTTGTTTACGCATTCACCTGTTTAAGGACATGTTTGTTTCCAAGTTTTGGCAATTATGAATAAAGCTGCTGTTAACAGTCATGTGCAGATTTTTCTATGAACATAAGTTTTCAACTCATTTAGGTAAATACCAAGGAGCTCTGTGCTTACCTTTACTACTGAGCACCTCTACCTGAGAAGCAGATGTAACTCATTTTGTATACGATACATTTTATTTTGTGTGTTCTTAATTCTCCTTCTGGCTCTTCCTTACAAGCTGTCTTTCCTTCAGTTGTAACCATACTCATGCTTTTCCTTCCTTGAGATGGCATGTTTCATTACCTACTATTCTAAATCGTTTAGTTCAAGTTTCCCAGTAATCCTACAAAGCATTGTACTCAGTCTCTTGAACCCATCAGCCTAGTAACGTTTTCACTAAAGTTGGTGATAACTTCCTAGTTGCCAAAATGCCCTTCATTTCTTATATTAATCTGGTATTGCCATGTGCTTCGCCACCAACTATTGAAAGTTCTTTTTTTAGCTTTTGTGGTGCCAGTCTTTTTTGCCTTTCCCTTTATAATATTGCTTTCCTGTTTTTCCATGTGCTATGTAAATATTGATGTTTCTAAAGGTCCCATCCTAAAGCTACCTTCATTATGCTGTGCTTCTAGCACTCTCTCATAACTTCAGCCCAGTCTATAGGCAGAAATCTTCAAACTTCTATTTCCAGTACAGACGTCTCCAAAGCCAATGACCCAGTTTTCATCATCTTATTAAACATTTTCATCAGAGTGTCTTTCAGACACCGCAGACTCAATATGTGCAAAACTAAATGGCTGAGAGGTAGTATGAGTTTGGGGGTAGTTGTAAAATTATTGGTTTTTTGGTTGTGGTGGTGGTTACATAACTTTGTATGCATTGGTCATGAAACTAAACACCAAAAAGAGTGAATTTTATGTTGTGTAAAAAAGTAAAGCTCAATAAAGAAAGTCAAAGGGGCATCCCCTGCTAAAAACTAACCTAAATGGTTAATCAACTTACGTTTGTATTCCTAATAGCCATTAGAGTTGGTGACACCTTATGGGAACTCTTATTAGGTGGATGGGTGGATGATTAAGATAAGCATATTAGCTGAAGCCTCCTGGATCTTACATAGTTCAAGACAGAGAAATGTTAGATATGATCAGATTTCTTAAAACATTAGAGGGAAAAAAACCTACATATTTTAGAGTGATAATTTATGACTTGGTTAATGTTTTTGATATTTACCGATGTTTATGCCATTTATGAATATAAGTAAAACTAAATATAAGCAGTTTTCAGTTTGCCAAGGGATTATGTTTTAAAGGTTGCTATAAATTCTTGCATTTGAAAATCAGAATATATTTTCTCATTAAAGCGATAACCTATATGATGAATATTGAACACCACTCTATGGCCTGGGTTAGGTTGTAATTAGGCTAGTAGTCCCAGATTCATTTTCCCCTCAACCTCTGTAAGAACACTGACAAATACTCATATTCAACATATCAAAATTTGGGAGAAACATTTCCTAACCCCAAATTCATTACCCAATGGAGAATCACAATCAGTGGACTATGCAGTTTTACCTTTTTGAAGAAAACAGTTTTATCTGTTTTGTCATCTCCTCACTATCTGCCATTTGATGCATCAGTAACACTTCAAAATAGGCTAGTTTCCCCTTTTGTTATATAGTTGCAGCATTTGAAGACAATCACAGTCATTTTCCCTTCTCATCAATCCCAGTTAGTATTTCTCTATATTTATTCTGAGACTGTGACTCCCAGAAAAGATATAATAGAAAGTAGAGGGACAGGTTAGCAGTGATCCATTGTGTTCCAAATCTATAATGTTCATTCACTAAAAATATTCACAGGTAGATAGGAATAACCCTGAGATTTGTGGACACTGAAGATTATTTTTCCAGTACTCTACTATATGCTCAGAATGACAAAGAACCAAGTAGTAGATACAAGAAACGTGTATCTCTAGTACCTCATTAGATAAATACTTGCTACCAGAATACTGGACATTAGACTAAGATTGAACGTTAACTAGTTTCCACCTACTACTTAGAGAGGACCATTCTATCAAAACTGCACAGTGTTCCTAAGAACAATCTTGCAATCATTTTGTTAAATGTTAAATCCTAAAACTTTACCTCTTAGTCTAGGATAAGTAAAAAGTAACAGTGTAATATTTTGGCACATGGCCAAAAGTTAACATTGCTCTGCAGACTCAGAAGACGAAAATTCCTGTGAAAAATGTTTAATTAAAGGAACAAAAGAAAACTGTATAAAGCATTTGCTTGGCAATCTATGGGAAAGAGGAAGTTACAAGAAGAGAACAATTGAGGTGAAAAAGAGTTAACTAAGATAAGGATAAATTGCCAGAAAATTAAAAATGTAAAGTCAGAAATACAATCTACATTGAAAGACATAAAGAGCAGAATTAACAGTACAGAAAATCTCATCAGTGATGTATAGGTTAAACCCAAGAAATTCTTCTAGCATAGAGAAGAAAAAGCAAACAGTTCTGAGGGAGAAGTTAGTAAATAAAGGAATAGAAATAAAGATTAATTCACAAATTCCTGTGGAAGGGATATAGAACATTGAAAATCTAAAGTAAGAAAATCACATAACTTTAGTGAGATATGTAAAAGAATATTTTAATGTACTAAGAGGCGTGCCATATTTTTGAATGGAAAGACATATGGAGATGGAAACTTAAAGGTATGATAGAAGAAAACATCCTTGAGGTGCCGAACACACCATTTATGCAGAGTAAAGAGGCACACATTCCCAACAAGTTGGTGAAAATAGATTCACAAATAGACATGTGAAGGAAATATTTTTCTAATTTCAAGAAGAAAGTTATCTAACCATTCTTTTTGGAATTTAAAAATGGTTTAATATTAGCTGCCATATTAACATTAATATGTCAAAAGAAAAATTATATAATAATTTCAGTAGATTCCAAAAAGTCATTTGGTAAAATTCAATGTCCATAATTAGTTTTTAAAGATATTAAAAAATACTAACATGAGCATATGTTCTCTACATGACAAAGAATATTTTAAACCAAAAGCCAATATCATACTTATAATGAAGCACTAGAGATATTCTCTTTATAATAAAGAACAAGATAAAAATATTCTTACTATCTTTGTTATAGATGTTTTGAATAATGTAATAAGACATGAAATTAAAACAGGAAATATAACTATTGAAAGGGAAAAGACATTTATTATATGTACATAATATATATACAAAAGCTGTAAGTTTCTGATTGATTTACCCTGGATACGGATATTAAGAGAAAAGATATGAATACATTGCGAGCAGGAGTAGATGCAGCATGTATTTCTATAGTTTTCTCATGTTCTTTTTTCCCTCTGTGGGGTGTTGGGGGGAGGACCTGTTAGAGCAGAAAAAGAAGCCAATTTCTCGTTCTGCCTCTGCCCTTTTACACTGGGCTGACACCTCCATTCCAGGAGAAAGTACACCAACACATATACCTAAGAGAATATTTATAAACATTGTCTTGGTTCTTGAAATAAGCTTAGCACTAACAAGACCATATCCTCCTCAGGGTTGGGGGGAAAAAGAGTCAGTGCCTAGGGATTCTTGAAAAATATCTCCTCTCCATCTCTGTAATGTCTCAGGAAGCTCATTTTCCACAAATATCTAAGAACCTGACCATTTTTTAATTAGTCAAAGATCTTAAGAAAATGACCACAGTCATAATAAATATGTAAAACTTAATAGTTTTTTTGTATGCTACGAGTGAGTATTTAGATGGTGTAGTGAGGGAAGATTCTATTTACACTAGCAAACACAATAAAATTTCTAGACCTAATCTTAGAAATAAAAGCATGGCTTTCTAGGTTCAAGAATAAACTTTACTGTGAAATAGAAAAATAAAAATGAAGAAAAGGGGAGACTCAGCATGTTTCTGAAAGGTAATAAATAGTGCAGGAAGGTTAGTTCTTCTGAAATTATTTTATTTAACCTTACAAAACAATCCTGAAGTTTACCTGGAAGATCAAATATATGAGAATAAAAACAAAGAGTAAGTCAAGAGGATTTGTACCACCAGATATAAGAAGTTATCACAAAGTTGCAATAAGTAAAGCAGTGTAGTACTGATAGGAGAATGACAGATCAGTAGGGACGGTAAAGAGTGCTGAAACAAAGTCTGAGTATATATATATATATATATATATATATATATATATATATATATATATGAAATTAATGTATGATAAAGGATGCATGGAAAATCAACAGAATGACTACTATCTAGTGGTTGGATGTAGGGAAATTGATTACTTTGGAAAAATCAAGTTATACATAAATACAAATATTGTTCGTTTTCTCCTGTGTCCTTTTGCAATTTTTTTATAATCATGGAGGAAAGTTATAAACAATATTCCTAGGATATTCCACAGAAAGTCATCCAATATAGGAGTTAAAGCACTGAATAAAGTTCTGGAGGAGGTCTGAACTCTGTTCTGATTCTGCCTCTTATCTAGTTGTGTGACCTAGGGTAAGTTATTTCATCATTGTGCCAGTTTTCTTAATTTTAAGATGAGAGATTGAATTTTATTTTCTTTAATTTTTCCATCCAAGTCTAAAATTTGTAAGTGTTCTGAAGTATAATAGTATAAGAACAATTCAGAACAATATTTACCTAGGAGATAGCAGCATGAAATCTGGAGTCAGACTGCTTGGGTTCCAACCTTGGTTCCAGCACTTACTAGCTGTGTGATCTTAGGGAAGTTTTTCATCCTGCGTGTATCTGTTTCAACTAAAAATAAACTGAGGGTCATGATAGTACTTCATAGGCTTGTTGTGAGAAATAAAGCAATGCATGGAAGTGCATGAAATGATGCCTGGCATATATTTGCTCAATTTCCCCATTTTTTTTTTCAATTTGAGATGCCAGGAACATAATTCCTCTACCCCCCACATCCACTCAAGCACCATGAAATTGAGACCTTCTTCCTGACATTTTTGAGGGAGATTCTGATACACATTGGTAAGAGAGGGATTCTATGGGTAGGAAAAAAACTCTCCAGATGATTCTGACCCTTTGCCTATTCTTTTTACTCCCCATCCTAAAGAGACTGTATTATCAGGGTCTTTGAAATAGAGCAGCAGCTCCCCAAAACTATAGCAGGTGAATAACATCGGGTATTAGTACATTCGAGACTGATAAAACTTCAATGAGATATAAAAAAAATTCTATTTCAATTTATTTGATAAATTTAGTGCACAGGGAATGAATTTTAATCTTTTTCTAACATATCTATAAATATTCCTAGAACAGTTTTCCTTTAATACAGTTGGGGAAGTGCTAGATAAAGTTTAAGTGCATTTTAACACTCGAAATTAAATGAGGTACTAGCACTAAAATATTATATCCAGAGGCTGATGAAAGTCTAGTCAGAGATGAACTCTATTAAAGTATTATTTCATTTTCCAATTATGTTCTACAGATTTTAAAAAATACATTCATAAATGTCTATAATCAGCTTTTTTGTAATTTTCAATTGATTATAGGCCCTCTAATGTGTGGATTATCTGCTATCATCATTTAGTTTCATTACCGCTTTATTTTGGTCACTTTAATACTTCAATAAGGCATTCCGTTACAAAAGAATGTATACTAAAAATTTTCCCTAAAGTCTAAAACGTTATACAGCCCTTTCAGTAACTAAAATAAAAAAGGTTTCTCCATGTTAATCCCATTTTTGTTGTATTTCAACTGAAAGCAAAGTGAAAATTCACTCATGGATGCTAATAATAGGTCTTATTTTACTTTAATCCCTTACCCAGTAGCATCTTGCACTTTTCCTGAAATACTCAGGCTGCACTTAAATGTCTTCACAGGTGTCCAGAGGAGGGCAAATTTTCTATGATTACTATTTGGATCAAGGAAAGAGTCCTGTTTGATAGAGAATATTTCCACAGCCATAGTAAACCTTGACCCAAGAGCAATGGAATGGGAAATAGTAGGGACCTTCTCTTTTATCATTGCCTCCCTCGTCAAACAGATGATTCCATGGACCAGATTGGGTTAATGGGAAAGTCGGCTTATATATTTGCTATGAGAAAGAGTAGACATAACTTTCCTAAATTGATGTGGAAAATCCTAAATCTGGGGCAGCAGAAAGGGAAATGGAGTTTTTATAGCCACTGGGGTTCTGGCTAGGGTAGCAATTTCATGGACACTTTTGTATGTAACATGTTTTAGAAGGAATAAGACAGGAGTTTCATGTACATATTGAACAATCCACGTATATAGGTTTTCTCTCTTGCCCTCTCTAATCGTCAAGTTGATAATTAGGTATACAGGGGATGATTTTGATTGGTTTTCACAACGTACCTCTTAATTTCCCTTTAATAAGTTTGGAAAGTGAAGATTATTTGAAATAACAACTACAAATTTTGGAACATGGAAATTTGTTCAATGACTAGAGAAGTCACTGAGGCAGCTATAAAATTAGGATAATTAAGTGATTTCTTAATTAATTGTATTAATTTCTTAGCATTGGAGAAAGGAATCTACTATGTTCAGGGAATTGTTTTGTCTACTAGATCCTAACATTTATTTAAAATTAATTTCAGATTCTTTCTGTGACCCCTCTACTCACTTCGAAAGAGTTGTGAAGGCTCTTCTGATCAATGCTTTCGATAAATCATTTCTGGGAACATTGTATGGTAAGTTAATAATATGGAACAACTTTTTTCCCCCAATTTTTAAAAAACTCCACTGTTTTATATATTAAACAAAACCAAGGAGACCTATTCTTAAGGCCTTCCAGTTGGCCTCTCTAGGATCAACTGTACCAAAAGTCCATTCGCATCAAAAACTTGTTAGTGTTTATTATTTGTGAAATGTGGAATGCACAAAAGAAAGACATGATGGTCCTACCCTTAGAGAGTTTATAGTGAATTTTAAGAGAGAGGACATACACTTATAAAGCAGCAGGGTAGTTCAACACTCCCAGCCTCCCTAAGCTCCTAGAATCTCACCAAAAGTTATATGCTGTTTTCTGCTTTTGTGCCTTTGCTTATGCTGTTCCTCCTTAGACCATAATCCCTTTCTACCTTGAATTTTACAAATGAGTGTAAAGTCATTTCCACTTTGAAAGCTATCTATGACCCACTCAAGTAGTATTTGTCACTCCCTCATTTGCGCTATCATTATCCTGAGCATGGTGGCACTGATGTATTGAAAATGGTTTTTTTGCCTTCCTCCCTTTGAAGAGTCTAACAAGAAACATACCTTATATATACACTTATCACTTGCCTCTAGCACTGAATCTGGCACTTAATAAAGATTGTAAATATGTTTGTTGACTCGCTAAGTGCCAAAATAATATTTCATTCATAATTATTGAACAAATATTTACTGAGTGCCGACTAAGGGCCAAGCATTACTTAAGAGCTGAGGATGTTGCAATGACTATGACATAAGATTCCTGCCCTCATGTTGCTTAAAATCTAATGGGAAAGACAGACAATGAGTAAACAAATATGTAACAATATAATTTCAACTAGTGATTAGTTCTTGAAATAAAGTAGGGTAAGGAGATTGAGAGTGATAAAGGAAAGTCTACTTAGTTAAATTGGTCAAAAACGTCTCTGGAGAAGTAATTTCTGAACAGAAACCCGAAGGGAGGGAGGATATAATAGATGGATCTAGCAGAGCACATAGCAAGTGCAAAGACCCTCAGGAAAGAGTACGTTTGAAGTGTTCAAGGAACAATTAATTAAGAGAAGGCCTGTGTGGCTCTGTTATTTTCCCTAATGCTGTGATGGAATAATTCTTTTTTTGCTTCATTAATTTTTTTTTAATTTAAAATGCTTCTAACCTAGCAACCAAGTATCTTCCTAAAACTATGAGACGACATCTTTAAGTATTCAGTTATTTAAATATTTCATGAGGGCAAAATTACTGGTCATTTTGTTGTTTTTATTCATCCTCTGAACAGATGGCATCAGGCAAAAATCATATGCACAAGATATGTTGACATCTCTTAATCATTTGGATAACCACTTTGTTCAGCCTCGTCTAGAGAGCTTATACTCTAGAAGTCGTTGGAAAGAGCAATATAAGGTATACAGTTTTATTTGGTTTTGAATCTCTGGCGTGGGCAGTGGGGGAGGGATGTGTGAGAGACCTCTCAGGATATCAGTATTCTGTCAAACTAAATAGTCTTATAAATTATCAGCATTTTTCTTTGTTAAATAATCAGCTTATTGTTTCTCACCTCTTCTAAAGGTTATTTTAATCATTGTAATGATTTAATCGTTTTAATCATTTACATCTGTATCTATGAGTATCCTATAATTAAGTAGTTTTAAATGATGAATAACTTTAGAACACCTCTAGGGCTTAGCTCATCTATTAAAATGAAGAGATTGTCTCATAGGACATTCATTGTTGTTTCAGAAAAGCAATTGTTAAATAAATTAATAGAGAAACAGTGGGTTTAACTTGAACTTAACTGAAGGACGTTTTAAGGAGCACTAATAATGTGAATTTATACTGTAAATCTTCAAGAGGATGATGTAGAATGTAATAACTGTCAAATTTGTGTTTTACCATGTGGCTCTTTTTTATAAAATACTTACACCTCCTAGGATAATTGATTCCTATAACATAATTTGGGAAATACTCACCTAGGTTGTCTTTGATATCCTTCTCCACTGTAAGATTTTGTAATTCTACCAATTTGGGTAAAGCATCTTTTAAATTTATAAGATTTATTTGATTTCATGTTATCATCTAAATTTCTTTCTTTTTTTTTTTTTTTAGCTGAGCCATCCTGCCACCTGTTGGCAGCTCAGCTCAGGCCAGACATCGAACCGCTGTTGCTCAGAGCTCACACTCTTGAGCGAGCTCTTAACCAACTAAACCACTCGGCCGGCCCCTCTAGATTTCTATTTTATGATCTCTAATAGTAGAGGGTGTACGATATGATTTTTAAGATTTTTTTTTCTCTCTACTTCTAACATTCTATCTTTTGATGATTAGCAAGAGGAAAAAAGGCAAGATAAGAGAAGTTCAAATTCCCGACAGTCCTTTTAGCACTTAAATCATTAGCTACTCTGCTTTATTTACGTCAGAGTTTTTGGCTTCATCCTGGCCTGTTCAGCCTTAAATTACCTAATGATAAATTAGCCACAGATGGTTTAGGTTTAAGGGACAGTTATGGGATTTCAAAGAGAGGCAGAAGACTTCATTTGCGGGGGATGGCTAGAGTTTAGGGTCACCATATATATCTTTTTAACTTTGGATGAGAGTTTAAGCTCTAAACTCTTCCTTAGATACAGAAACTATCTACCTACTTAAATATTTTCTTACTTTGAAGGCAAAGTGGATAGTACAGCTCATAGAACATGATATAAATATTTTTATTTTTACAGAAATAAAAATAGCATTATTCACTGACCATTTAATTTTCCCAAGTAGTTTCCATGCAAAGTAAAGTATTGTATTTGATGTTCAAAGTTAACCCCATGAGGAAGGCACTATTATTTCCTCCGTTTTAGAGTTGAGGAAACTGTGACTCAGAAAAACTGAGTTAACATAAGGTTACACAGCTAGTAATTAGCCAGGCCAATACATTTAAACCTAGAAGCCTCAGGTTTCTAGGGTTACCCTTACTCCCAAACCCATACCACTATGCTGAATTAGCTTTACTATACAGTGGAAGGTGATGCTAAATTTGGATAACCCAATGTTGAAATAATAACTGTAAGATACAAGAAATATTAGCTCAAAGATTTAGAGACATAAATGATTCAGGACAGTCTTGGTCAGGATAACCTAGGTTATTCTGCAAAAATTAAATAATATGACAGACAAAATAAACCAACAACAAAATCTCAATAGCTGAACCCAAAAAGTTTACTTTTTACTTACTTGTATGTCCTGTGTGAGTGAACAGGAGTTTTCTGCTTATCGTAGTCTCAGGGAACTAAGCTGATAGAGCTTTTCAGCTCAGCATGTGCTTCCATGAGCAACACAGAAGCAGGAAGGGATGGTGGTTAGTCACCTACTCCCTCTGAGTGTCACCCTATAAGTGACATGTGTCATGAAGTGTCATGAAATACGAGAAGTATTAAAGGTAAACAAAAGACAATATTGTTGTGAATCATACAATGTAAAAAGGAAACTATCAGTATGTTGGATACTTAATTGCTGTCAGGCTGATAGTGAATGTGGATGTGGGTTAGTTACCCTGCTAAAATGCTCATTGTGTGCAGTTCAAATATTACTAATTAGGACAGTATTATCTAGCACAGGCCTAGGGCACAAGCAAAAGTACTCAAGCACAAGCAATTTCACAGCTTAATAAAGCTTATTTCTGAATGCCAAATATTTTCTCAGTTTGTTGACTCAGCTAATTGCTAAATCAGCTATTACACTGTCCATATCATTACTGGCCACCTAGCAATCCTAGTTCCAACTTGTTTATTTTCACAGTGTTTTAGTAAGTCACTATAGGAGGATTAAATTATTTCTGGAATATTTTGTGGAAACTACAATATAATTCACACAATGGAGACTAAATGTGATCTTGTTTTTGTCAATTTTTGACTTAAATGGATTTACTTTTTATTATATTCTGAATTTCTGCTGCTCATTGTTTCCTATTTTTAACTAATACCTCATTAACACTCACTAGAGAAGAGAAGAAAAAAAAATCTGTGAAGAACACTGCTTAATAGTAACTCAATAGTTGTGAGGGATATGAAACTAATGGTTTTGCTAGTCTGGTTTTTTTTCATTTAATAGCCTAAATTATAAATTCTTTTTTTTTTAATTTAAAAATATCTTGTCAAACACCTACTATGTACTCAGTATTAAAGTTAGAAATACCAGTATTTTCCTCTTGCATCTCATCCTATTGTGATTCCTAATTTCAGTTTTAATTTGGTTGGGTTTGTTGTGTGTTTTATTTTGTTGTTGTTGTTCTAATCCTTTAAAGTTTCATTACCCCCTTTTGTTTTTTCAGGAGCGCATAGCAAATTATCCTAATGTAACTAAGCAAATGACAAACGCTAAAGACTGTTGCTGTCAGGCTTGTGGATTGCATCGCCACTGTAAATATTTAGTGCGTTTATCAGGAGCGTTATATGACACCAGGACTATGGAAACAGATGACTTCATGTCACATGATAAACAGGTATTATTTTTTCCACCCATTTTAGTTTTCAGTATTTAGAAATTTTCAATCTGTAAGCTTGCACAAATAACCCCAAGTTATTTTCACAAATGGAGAAAACACTAGAAGGGGAAAAAGAGAATAAGGAAAGAGGGTACAATTTTTAAATGTGAAAAATATGTCTTATAAAGAGATTCACTCCTAATTCAGTCAGATACTAAAATCCATGCATGTTCTCATGTATGTGTCATCCAAATAGGGGGCAGTGGGGTACAGGATGAGGATGAAAAGAGGGGTAACTGAGGCAGCCAAAGCCAAAGTCCCCTTTGAGCCCAAAGGAAAATTTGACCCAAGTGGAAAATTTTATGGCAGATAATATACCAAATTGACAGTCCACAAACTAATAATTGAAGATGCCTATTCATCCTAACATGAGAATTAAAAGAAAGCCGTGCTTCTACATAGACTATATCAGAAGGATGTCAGAGTCTAGAGCAATTACCACATACTTAAGGTGCTGTTAATTTTGAATGAATAGAAAGAACTGAAGAAAATACTTCAGATAGGTGAAGAAAAGTGTTTGATGAACAACAGCAAAGCAGTACAATGTGAAGAGAGAAAAAGTGCGGATGCAGTCTAGTACTATTTATTTTTTAATCTATATAAAAGTGTTGCATTTATAAATGCAAAAATGTTAATATTGAAAGCTTCCTCTGGTGAGTCTGTATATCCATGAAAGGTGTGTATTTTGGGGACTAGTTAGAGACCTTAATTGGACTCTAAATACTGCCAGTCAATTATTAAGGTGGAAATATACTATTTATCTGAATTCTGCTAGATTAGGTAGTATGATTCCTCAGTGTTATTGGGCAATAATTGACCAGATCCCTCTGAACAATCTGGATTGCAAGAATCACTCAGAAAGTTTGTATGGGGATAATGAATTCAGAATTAATTTTCAGTGTTTTATTTGGCAAGTTACTATAAAAACACATTTCTTCTCTCAACATAGTCATATGCACATTTCCCCATTGTTTAAAAACTAATCTATGACTTTATAAGACAGCTAGAATTTTAATATAAGTGATTTTACACTCTAAGGATCATGTTCTGTTGTATAGATAAAAATATTACTGTACATTCACTTTCTACAACTAATCCTGGAGAGGGGTGTGAATTAGAAAGCCATTTCTAGAGTTCTGACATTCCTGTGAAGGAATAAAGATTCTATATAAAATAGTTATTTCAAATATCTAACAAATAAGAGATTGCATGAAATAAAAGCCAAGAACATTAATACACCAGGAGCTGGCCGAGTGGCTCGGTTGGTTAGGAATAAGCTCAAGAATGCGAGCTCTGAGCAACAGGGCCACCAGTTGGATTCCCATATTGGCCAGTGATGCTACGCCCGAGCTGAGGTGCCACTGAGCTGCCAACAGGTGGCTGGATGGCTCAGCTGGTGAGAGCACGTGCTCCTAACAACAAGGTTGCCTGTTCGATGGTGGGCTACTCCCGCCTGCAACTAAGGCTGAATTCGGCACCTTGAGCTGAGCTGCTGCCCAGATGGCTCAGTGGATAGAGTATGTGCTCTTAACAACAAGGCTGCCGGTTCAACTCCCGCATGGGATGGTGGCTACACCCACCCACAACTAAGATTAAACACAGTACCTTGATCTTAGAGGCCCCGAGCTACCGACGGGCAGCCAGATGGCAACTCGTGCCCTCCACAATGAAGACTGAAGAACAACAACTTGGCTGGTCCCGCTCCCCAATTCCTCAACACTGTTCCCCTCCCCCAATTCCCCAATTAAAAACAAAAGAAAATATTATACACCAGTCACACAATGGAAAAATAGAAAAGTTAACAAATATATTGGAAAATGATTATTCTCCATTTAAAGGTATACAATTAAAACTACTTTAAGATGCCAGTTGATAGCTCTTAAAGTAGCAAAGTATTTTTAAATAAAATGACAAAATGCAGTTCTGTCAAGGTTACATTGAAACTAGCAGTTTCACAGAAAGTAAGATTCCTAAAGAAAGAAAGGATGTGATATATCTTTTCAGAATACTGGATAGCAATATATAGCCAGAGTTACAAAAGTATACATATTCAGTACCTGTAAGTTTATCCTTGGCAAAATAATTTAATAAAAGTAAATGACATGATCATGAAGTTTATTGAAGCATTATATATAATATAAAAAATGGAACTAATCCAAATAAAATATTGGAGTACTGATTTAATAAGCTAAGTATATTATCATTTTGTGATAGAATATAATAAAACCACTAAAATAATATTTATGAAATTTGTGAAATAAAGCTAGGTGAAAGTGAAATAATAAGCATGTATATTCATCTTTGTAAAAATGTGTGTATTTTTATATGTATTGCTTTATGCAAACATTAAACCAGTTATGGTGTATATTAAGGTAGTGTGATTAAAATTATTTAATATTAAATTTTTCAGTAATTTTTCCCTAAAAAGGAAGAATCACTTATTAAAATCTATTTTATATTCTACTAAACTACAGTGTCAGTGAATATATGGAATGGAAAAAGAAAAGGAAAGGAGAAAAAAACAAACCCATTTTAATCCAAGGTATTAAAGAGACTGCAGTCACCCCCACACTCACATTCAGGCTATTTTAGAAATGAATTCTCAATTTTGTGTTGCTGCTTCTGGTTACATAAAACTGAGACTCTTTGGGATTATCTGGGGTTCTCTTTTAAGGTACACATGATACTTTAAATGAATGCTCTTAGTGAATTTGTTTAATGATAAAACGTTTCTTCTTACCAGAGATTGGCCTCTTTTAAAGAAAGGATACGTTGATGGAAAGTGGAATTATGGGAGAGAGTAATTTCAGTTACACAGTCTTGGGTAAGGTACTGAGATGAGAGACTTTGGACCTCCAGATTGTGGTTAAGGCTGAGGGCATAGATCAGAAGGAAATCACCTGGGGAAAGAGAGATGTGAAATCTGAAAGGCGGTTGGGAGGATTGACAGCAATCTTGAATTAATTTTCACTTTTGCCCAGAGTCTGTCCAGACTCCTGCAGATGCTTGAGATCCGATGGGAAGAGGCAATAATTTTGAGGCAAATGGCAACATATAATGTGTCCATACAAAAAAGAGGCCAAGAGGAAGTTGAATCCCTTGGCTCAGCCTATTGCACTGAATGTTTCCAGAGACCTAGGATCAGAAAACAAACTTCTTCCCATCCTTCCTCTGTCCTTGAAGATCTTTTTTCTTTCTTCTCCACACTTCCATAGGAGCTGGCTCCTCCATATATAAATGAGGGCCTAGAGAAATATCTCAAGAAGCTACCTACAGTTAGCTGGATATTACAAATGTGTGTAATGCATGTTTCATTATATTTCCTTGCCTTTCACATGCTATATCTAATAAATTACAAGTCACATTCTTTCTGTTGCTTTGCAATTCGCCATCTGCTTTAGGAAAATTTGGTGACAATTTTTAGCTTTGTTTCTTCATATATATCGGATTCCTTAGTTCACATTGATAACTGAGATGACTCAGTTATCCTCAGACATCAATTTATAGAATGAGGCTAACCCTGCACCGTGGATTAATAATCATTTTTGTGTCATTTTGCTTATCTGCTCTGAGAATAGTCATTACAGAATTTATTTCTCTATCTCTGGCAATTTCTATTACTGGCTGTCTTGTTAGAATAGAGTCCTTAATGTCCAGAAATGCAATTAGATAATTAACAGTAGTCTCTGAATACATTTCTGGAAATTGAAGAACACTATTCCAACAGCATAGGTTAATTTTACTTGTTTTAGTACTTTGTATAAATAGAATCCTACAATGTGTTTTATTTACATTAATTCCTAAGGTATAACAGGCTGTAAGAATGCATGAAAATGGGTGAGGTAAGAGGAGAGGTCCACTTGCAGTATTACAGCTTATTATATATGTTCAGTGTTTTCTATGAAGCCTTACTTACAATGGTTTAGGCTCTTCCATATAAAACGTGATCATATTTTGGGAAAAATATAGTTTGAGACTATTCTGAAAGTAATTTTGGGTTTATTGACCTATGTCAGTGTGAGTAGATGCCAAGAGGGTGGGAATTAGAAATAGAAAAAAGTAAACTATAATGTTTAATATTTTCAATGGGTTTTTTGTTTCAAACAAAATATTGAAAAAATATATAAAAAATATAAAATATAAAAATATAAAAAAATATATAAAAATATTTTAAAAATACATAAAAATAAGGATTTTTAAGCACTTCTCCTTCCCTCTTTTGCCAACTTAAAAATTCTATACAGATAAACCCCCTTTATTTTGTGGAAAAATAGACTGCAATGTGATAGAAGTAAAAATCACATTATTCTCCTACAGTATTTTATCCAGAACACCTATAAGAGATTTCCCCCACACAGTCTACTCTGATGGCAGAAATAGAGAGATACGGGGTACCCTTAGTGGCCACTGCAACTACTGTGGTATCTTTTCCCTTCAAGTGGGAGGTATTGGCAAGTAAGTTGTTGTAATTGATATGACTGGTTTGATGATAATGTTGAAATGGGAAAGATATTTAAGTAAGCAGTGTACAATAATATCTGATTATTTCTAATGACCTAAAAAAAAGAAAGGCTTTCACAGAACGTGAACAGAAATTTCAACATGCTTTTTCTTCAGCTTTTGGTGATTTTTAAGAAGGATTATAAGCTGTCCCTAATACTGTCTTCACCATCTGATGCCTCAAACCTGACTGTTGCCAGTCTTCATACTTAACTTTTTTTCATTTTTGCCAATATACTCTTAGATTATTTCTTGAATTCATCACCTCTAGAATCCATTATAGTATGGCTTCAGGAAAACAGTAAGTTCTTTGTCAAATAGTATGCAAGTTACGTAGATCAATATTATTACTATACACTTGTACTGAACTCAGGAAAGCATAACCCACTAGTGAATTTAGACACAGACAAATATTTAAATTAGCAAGAAGTTTGTCTATTTCGTCAGGTCACTTCACGAAAATAAGATTGTTCATGTTATGATGTTTGGAGCCCTATATGTTGCATTTTCTACAATAAGTGAAATACTGTAGGTACAGTTATATTTAATTTGGTCAGTGCAATGACACTGTTTTCCTATTTTAGCTATAGGTGTGTATAACAAAGCATATATTCAAAATATTCTAAAAGAGAAATGTTCTGGTTGGGATTTCACAAGATTAGCATTTTTTTTAGCTGAGCCATCCTGCCAGCCACCTGTTGGCAGCTCAGCAGCAGGTCAGCTCGGGCTAGGAATCCAACCAGCGACCCTGTTGCTCAGAGCTCACACTCTTGAGTGAGCTCTTAACTAACTGAGCCACTTGGCCGGCCCAAGATAAGCATTCTTAATTATAGAATCCTAGAAGTCCATGTAAACATAGAAATTAAAATTCTTATAGTTTTCTAATAATAAAATATTAGTGTGTTATAATTATATCAGACCCCATTAATTAATGACACAAACATGACTAAACACAGTTATTTTTTACTTTAGAAAAAAAATTTATTTTTTTTTTAAGATTTTTATTGGGGAATTGGGGAATGGGAACAGCGCTGGGGAATTGAGGACGGGGAACAGACAAGTTGCTGTCCTTTTGTTCTTCAGTCTAGTTGTGGAGGACGTTGCTTCACTGGCCCAAGTTAGCACCGTCATTGCGCTCTTCCCAGGCAAGGCAGATCATTCGCCAGCTTCTGGACAGCCGCTCACAGCAGCTGCTGGCCGCTCACGCTGGCTGCTGGCTACACATGGTAGCCCATGGCAACCCACTGCAGCAGGGGCTGCAGCCTATGCCGTCGCCGGCAACTCACGGCAGCCCAGCTCCAGGTCGAGCTGTTGGTCAGCATCTTAGCTGTAGAGGGCAGTGTCACTGGCCCTCATATGTGGGATCCGAACTGGGGCCCTCTGGTGTCCCAAGCCAGTTCTTAACCAACGTGCCACTTGGCTGGCCCTACTTTACAAAATTTTTTAGGAAAAATGTGTTTAGTATAAACTGCCAATACTTAATTGGTATGAGAGTTTGTGTCAATTTTTGCTTATAAGCTAGAAATTTATCACAGTCCAGGAATTAACTGAGTAACTGTGTACATTGAGTAGTTTGCATGGTTTTCTTGCTTTGAGGTGTGCCCGTCCTCCCGTCTTACAAGCCATTTTTCTTCACCTTCCCAAACTCTGTTTTTTAAAGACTTAGTTCAAGCATCACCTATCTGAGAACCCTTCTCCTCTCTGGATTGGGTTGTCGCTCCTCTGTATCTTGGTAGCATCTGGTGGGTAACATTTGACACATTGTTTCATAATCATTTGGTTTTCTTCCAAGACTGTAAGCTACCCTAATACAGGTAGTACATACATCTTTCTCTTATGTATCAGCCCAATGGTACTCAGCTTGTTAACTGGGCTATATAAATAAGAGAAAGTAAAGGAATCATGGTGTAAGCATTTAAAAAAAATGAATAATGCATTTATTAGATCCTACTATTAAAATCTGAAAACCAGAAAGTCTGTATAGTAATTACTATATTATTCATTTCATATGTCAGATTGTGTTTATTTCTTGATTTAGGTGTTCTTTGTTGGCAGAGTCTGTGCTGAACGCACCAAAATTTATCATAAACTGAAGCATTTTAAATTCAAGCTGTACCAGGACTGTTGCTCAATGGTAAAGACAGAAAAAGTTGAAGATGAACAAGTTAAAGAAACAGTGGAAAGAATTTTCAATAAGTTAAAAGAAGAATGCTGGATTGAGGCGGTAAGGTGACTCTAAAAGAACGATCTCATTCAGTAGGTTCTGGAGCCTAATTATGATCAGCGGAAGGATAAAATGATTAGAAGGCAGTGAAATTTAAAAGAGAATCTCTCCTTCTCTCCCGGTCTTTGTATTTTCTCTTCTTCCACCCATTCCTCTCATGCTTATCATTGCCCTACCCTAGATAGGTGCCCTGATGTCCTAAACATGCATTCAGCTCATCAGGCACATTTTAATCAACAGTAATACTGTCCCTTAATGTAGGCATCTCTTTCCTTCCACTTTTATATATGTGGTACTTCTTACATATATATTAAGCCCCCGTATTTTCTTTGACAGAGCATAGGACTCTGCTTATCTGCTTCCTATCCTTTAGAACATTCTTGTGACCTGAGAGTGAAGAAGCACTTGGTGCCAGTGAGAAAAGGATCTCGGCTGCCAGTTCTAATGCCACCCACATCCTCTTCTTGAGGACATGGGACTTAGCAGTGAGCACTGTAACCGAAAATCAAGGGGAATGCAGAGGCTTAGGCCACAGCACTGATTTTGATTCCCCCCCTTTCCTGTTGATCACTAAATTTGGCATCAGGGATAAAGTGGGGGTTTTGGAGAGTGCGCTGGATTCCTGAAGATCTGCTGGCAGCTCCTGAGCTCTGGTCTGCTCACAGAGCTCTTAGAATTGTTTACAGTGCATGGAAAGAATGCTAAAATGATTGCGGTCTTGAAAAACAAGTCTAGTTACATGCATGTGTAAGACAGAACATGCGGCAGATTTTTCAGGCAACTCAGATCAAGAGTATATTTAATCTTAAAAAAAAAAAAAGACTGGAGATTCATTGCCTGGGTCATTTATATCAGAGGGGAATTTGTAAAAGAGGAAAATAAAATAGAAGAGAGCTTAGAGAATAAACTGAGGAGCAGAGGGAAAGAAAATGAGAACAACAAAACAGGAATGTCTTAAGACATGTTCCACGGAGGCCTTCTGGTCTGAGGAATGACATCAAGATGGTTTCCCTTTTGACAGTTACCCTCCCACCGCACACCACCACCCCGTGGTCTCTTTGCCTGTCCCCCACATCTTGGCACTCAATTCATCTGTCTCTCATTTTCCTCCCTTCAGCTTTTTATTTTTTATTTTGCTTCTGCTTCTCTCACCCTCAATGCTTTCCTCCCTGTCCTCTGCCTTATGCAGGAGCCATCACTTACCTGTAAGTCCCATCTTCATTTTGCTAGATGACAATAAATTCTTAAGTGTTTTTATTGATGCATTTAAGGGTTGTGAACCCTCTAGTGGGATTGAAAGACCCATTGAGACAGCACATTTTTTTAAAATTGTGTAGTAGATATAGAAAAATCACTGTGGGCCAGCCAAGTGGCTCAGTTAGTTAAGAGCTTGCTTAAGAGCGCGAGCTCTGAGCGACAGGGCCGCTGGTTCGATTTCCACATGGACCAGTGATGCTGCGCCTGAGCTGAGCTGCCGCTGAACTGCCAACAGGTGGTAGGATGGCTCAGCTGGGTGAGAGCACGTGCTCCTAACAACAAGGTTGCCTGTTCGATGGTGGCCTACGCCCGCCCACCCTAAGACTGAACTTGGCACCTTGAGCTGAGCTGCCGCCCAGATGGCTCAGTGGATAGAGCATGCGCTCTTAACAACAAGGCTGCTGATTTGACTCCCGCATGGGATGGTGGCTGCGCCCACCCACAACTAAGATTGAACACAGCACCTTGAGCTTAGAGGCCCCGAGTTGCCGACGGGCAGCCAGATGGCAACTGGCGCCCTCCACAACGAAGACTGAAGAACAACTTGGCTGGTCCCCCTCCCCAATCCCCCAACACTGTTCCCCTCTCCCAATTCCCCAATTTAGAAAAATCATGCATGTATTTATATTTATGTGTGTGTGTGTGTGTGTGTGTGTGTGTGTGTGTGTGTATAAATGGAAGGAACATTAAACTCTTGCAGAAAAAAACTAAAAGCATTTTTAAATCAATTACCTTAGAGAAAGCTTAACAGGGTTTGTGACAAGAGAAGGGACCTGGAATAAGAAAAAATATTCTTAGGAAAAGAAAGTCAAGTGGCATTCTGCTTGGAGAATAACACTTAGCACTGGCATTGAAGGTATTTCAAGATCGTATGTGTTTAGGGCAATATGCACATTTTTTTTCTCATAAAATACCAAAGAGCTTCATTTTCTTCTTGAGATCCCTCCTACTTTGAAACTATTTGTCCGTACACTTTCTCAGAAGATTTCCTGGAAACTAAAGACGCTTGTAGCCAGGATACACCTGTATGCAGCTTTCTGTGCTGTGATTAAATTTTGAAAATGGTCAGATGCTCTGACATTGCTCAACCTCACTGTGCCTACCCCTCAGTATGTGTGTGCCTTGGAGTGATAGCACTGTGTTGGCCTGGTGATGGTGATGCCGCCTTTGGCTGCAGTCTCATGGCCACGGTTACTGTAACCCTTTAGAATGCCAAGACTCAGTGCTACTTGAATGACTGTATGGCTCTTTCCGCTCTTACCTCCCAGTCATTATGTCAGTCCCTTCGTTTACTTACACAAACGATTCATTCCCATCTTCCCTCCTTGGTTTTGTTTTTCCCTTTCCTGCTCCTCCTTCCTCCAAGCATTTTTCTTCTATTATCTTAGCATTTCTTTCCCAAAACCTGCCACCTAGACTGACTTCTTCTTCTTGCTCCTCCTCCTAACAGTTGAACTAGGAAGATCTGTTTTTAACCTAATAATATTAAAGTCATAGGAGCAACCTGCGTGTAAGAAAAGAACAAATGATCAGAAAATTATAATAAAACGAAAATATATAATAAATATAATAGTAATCTAGGTCTCGTTCTAAATTAGCACTGAAGAACCTACTGTCATATGCCATTGGCAAAATTCTAACAAATTTTTTTTTGTTAAGAAGCAAGTGCCTGTGATGATGGGGTTTCCAGGGAAGTAGAATATAGGGATTGTTGGGATGGGGTGTGAATCCATGAACACCAGGAAGTGAAGAAAGTATGTCAGTACAAGTACCAGGTTTCAGTTTTATGGTTGTATTTAAAGTAAATTTTAAGTGTTATGTAAATAATAATTTTAAATTATGGTTGGATATCCCTTCCCTTTCCAAAACTCTTCTCACTTGTTCTCTTCCCCTTATTTCCCTCTTTTTAACTTTTTTTTTCCTTTTCCTTTTCTTCTACTCCTTAAATTGATGTTTCTCAAAACATGGCTCTAAACTACATGTGTCAGAATTAGCTAGAAGTTTGTGAAAAACGTGTAGTCCCTGGCCTCACTGCAGACCTACTGAATGAGAATCCTTGGGGGTGTTAAACACCCAAATTAGGCAATTCTTAAAATTAAAGATCCAGGTGCACTGCTTAAAAGTCCAGGTGGCACTCGGTTCTCTTCTTCTAAGCTCACTCCGTTGGCAAACCCTTTCCTTTTTTCAGGTCTAACTGCCACTTTTGAGTGTAAGACTCCAAACTCCTTCTTTTATGTTCTGACCTTTCTCATACTCCCACAATTCCAGCTGTTTTCATCAGTCGGTCCCTCTGGCACTCGATGGGCTTGACATAATAAGACCCAAACTCTCCAAACTTTCAATAAAGAATGATGGAAGCAGAATCTTTAGGTGGAGAGAATGGCCAGGTAATACTAACTGCCTTCTCTCTGAGTTTCACTTTCCTCTTAAATGTTTTTCTTTTTGCACATTAAAGCTGCACCCCACCCCCTCTCTTTAAATCTCAGGAATAAAATAGCATACTGTAATGGTTAAAAGCATGAATTTCAATATTTTCTACCAGTAGAATTTGGGGGCAAGTTACTTTATTTCTCTAAGCCTAAGTTTTCTCTTCAGTAAAATAGGAATACAGCAATAATAATAATTGGGATTTTGTTCGTGGAGGTTAAATGAGTAACACATTTTAAACATTTAGTATAGGACCTAGCAATTATTCATGGGTCAGTTAAGGTTAGCTATTATTAGTAATAAAAGCAAGGAGAGGTTTTCCTTAGTATAGTTGAGATAGACTGTAATTTTCCAAAATAAATAAATAAATAAAAAGATAATATAAAAAGCATAAAAACATTCAAACTTTAAAGGTTCCTAATCCTAGAGTACTTCACTTATATCTATAGAGGTTCCCTTAATAGTCCATAGGTTCTTTTCCCTCCTGCTCTTTTCTTTCTTCTTTCCAGAGAAAGTGATCTAGTCAGAGACCTTTGGAAGTGTGGGGAAGGTTTCACGGCCCTGTCTAGAAGGAACATGCACTCCTCTCTACATCCTTCCATAGCTCCCTAATCACCACAAAAGCCTGAATCATCAGGGACCCTCTCACTCACTGGGCGTAGAACCAGAGCCCATAAGGAGAGTTTAGAAACCATTGGTCAGTTAATTCCTCAAGTGAGGTAAGCACTTCGAACTCTATCAACTGTGAAATCTTCAAATCATCCTGACTCCTGCCTTATCTTATCCCAGTCTTATCTTTATCTTTGCTGTCACTCAAATTTGGGCCCTCATTACCTAAATTATTATAGTAGATTCATAACTAGTTGCCAAACTATTCTAGAATGGATGTTTTACCATTTTTCTTATAATACATCTTAGATCATGTCAGTCTCCTGCCTTAATACCTTTAGCAGCTTTCTGCCAGTCACATTATTGCTAAACTCCTTAACTTAGCATTTCGTACTTTTTATTCCCTAACCTCAACCTCTTTGGTTCAGTCTTATCTCTCTCTATTCCCCTAAAAAACCTCAGATTGAGTCAAATCCCATACTTTCTTGTCACTGTTGTATGGACTGTTGTCTCCTACAGAGAACTCTCCCCACCAAATCTTTGCCTACCAAATCTTTTTCCCAGAACAGCTTAAATGCCTCTCTTTCCTGGTCACCTCAACTACCCATGACCCCTCTTTTGAAGCCTCATGACAGTGTCTATACTTCTTTATGTCATTTGTTCTTAGTTGTCATTGGTGTATTACTACTGAACTCTGTTCTCCTTAGGGGAAGGGAATGCAATTTTTTTTTTTTTGTACCTAGACAGTCATTAGTAGGGTATTTGATATATGCTATGCATTCAACAAATTTTTGTTGAATAAGTTATTGAAGTTGTTATACTTCTATAAATATATTAGAGAATTAATTTACAAGAAAGTTATGAAATTAATAATAATGTTCAGTTTGATCTCTTTCCAATGCTTTAATGAGTTAGAAATCCTTATTTGAAAGTGAGTCCCTGTTTATGTAAAAAACGTTTTTGTTCATGATTACCATGAAATGAACTTGTTCCTGTTTGTGTCTGTAGTAGATTGAAAAGGCCTAGCTTATCTTCATTGCTTTGAGTAAAGTAACTAGCTTTTTTATTGTATACACAGAAATATGATGAACTTCAAAAATATCTGAATGATGCGGATTGCTTTCAAGATGAGAAGCTTGACTGAATTGTAACACATTTCCTTCAGAGAAGATTTTATAAATTCCTGTAAATGTGAAGATCATGAGTCTTGTTTCTCTGTATCATGTGACATATTTATATTTTTATGTACATCTTCATGGCAAAATATCTTGTTTAAAATATATATTCATCTTAATTTCCATGAAATGGCACTCTACAGTCTAATAAAGCTTTCATCTGCTGTGCATAGAAAGTATAGGCTTAATAATTTTTAAGTGTATTTTGAAGTTATATAACAATGCCTTTATAACAGATGACTATCAAGTGGATGAGCTGCTCGTGTCCTGTCAGTTTAGTAGAAAAATACTGCATTTGTAAAATGTATTTAGACCAACACCGACATGTATTTATTGCTGAATCCCTGCCCAGATCTGTTAATTATACTTTTTCAGCATCAAATGATCTTCACTAATATGTTTTTTACTACTATCATTATCCAAATCAGTGGGCCATGGAAGAAACCTCAATGCTTCAGTCAGTTCAATCCCATTGCCTCAGAATCAGACTGTAGCTTACCCATTCTAAGTAGAGGAGTGCTTTTTTTCCTTTCCTAAAGTTTCCCTTAGAAATAGATTTTAGGCCTCAAGAGTCTTTCAATGCTCACATTAAGGAATAACTTTATGATATGTGTTTTCATGCTTCATAATCATTCTTTTTTCTATTCAGTTTAGTCTATGTGTTAATGATTAAGATTTATTTTGTTTATTTTTATCCATAACTTTTCCCCTATAAGTTTTTATATTGGATCAGAAGATCTCAGAGAGACAGATTCATCCTAAAATAGTTTAAATGAATATTTTGGCATCTGCATTGCTTTGCACATAAATTTTCCCATAATATAATAAAGTAAAATGGTTTCAGAGTGAACAAATGGACCGTGTCTATTCTGTATCTTTAATTCTTAAAAGTTGTGTTCTAGTAGGATCTATTTTACTGTTGAATTTTAGATACTCGTTTTTTACTTCAAATGTTGGTTGAAACTGGCTTCATCTGTTGTGTGGTTCATAGCATGGACTTCAGTGTACATGCACACATAGAAAGCTACATTTTATTTAGTCCTCACATCAAGATTACTTCATTCTTTCTGAAGTTATCCCTATTATTATTGTAAACAAAACAGGTAGGAAAAGCTTGCAGAGTGGTGAGAAGGCTGGTGCTGATGTTGCGTGTGAGGAGTGCATACCGTTTTACTGTTGTCTGGGGTCACTGCAACTGAGCAAGCTTCTTCAGTGAGTGTTTGGAGAATACAAGAGGCTTTTAGGTACATGATAACACCAAAAGAATGGCAAAGAGACAGGCTGTTAGGAAATGAGAATAAGCGTGGGTCAGGGAGCAAAAAGCAAGTAGTCTATTAAGAAAACAAATGTTGAGGGAGCATTTGAGATTTTGTTCCTCCAGCAATTGTCATCAGTTTGGCTCAAATAAACTCTTGTAAAAATTTTCTTAAAAAAAAAAAATGTTGAGAAAATAGAACTAACGTTTGCAGTTACTGCAACATACTGTTTATTATCATCTTCAATATCATTGATTCGATATAACATTAAAAAATAGCTTGTAAACTATAGATCTCACATATCTATGAACTTTTTAGATCTGGGCATTTGTTACTATAGTGTTAGATGCTTAAGTGTTAGTTATCTATGGATAATAGAGGTGATAAGGAAGACACAAATGGACAAGTAAAAGGGAAGTTATGCTTGAAAGAATTTATATGGCTGTACAGAAGCTTTAGGGTTGTAAGAGAGGGACCAGCACAATAAAAAGGGAAAAACAAGGAAAAAAGAAATATTTATTTTATTGGCAATTGGATGTAATTGACTATTTTCTCACTTGTCTGATCCCATATTCAGATGAGTAGCTCTATTCACTACTCACTTTTTGGAGGTATTCTAGGACTTACTTAGATTCCAGTATGTTGATTGAGGTGTAATTGCAGTGCTTCAGCTATTTTGAAGGTAGTCTGTTCTCCCTGTAACTCTCTTCACACGTGATATTGAGGCAATAAGCCCAGTGGTTAAGAAAGCATAGGTTTGAAATCAGTCTTGAGGTTGAGTCCTGGTCTTTTACTTGCTAGTTACATGTACTGGAACAAGTAGTTTAATTTCGATGAGCCTCAGTTTCCTTATTTATAAATGGGTTAATAATACTTATCTCTCAGGATTGTTTGTGTATTAAGGGAGATATACACTGAGGGCTGGGCCTGAAACAATGATTGTAAATCAATAGCAACAGATGTGAATGGAAATGAGGATGTGGCTGGTAATTATGTCAGCCTGAAGATAAATGGCTATAAAGGATAAATTTGTGCAGAAGACACTCTAAAAGAAGTGTCCTACACCACTGGAATATAGTATGAACATTTATTAAATTCTTGCTTTACAAATTTTTAAGGTGTCCCTGTCTAGCATAGAAATCAAAGTTGACATCAGTTAGGAATATCAGATTTGACCATGGTCTCTGTGTTATGAATCAAAACCCATGCTACTGCAGGGCTGTAGAGTGAACAGTGAATTTTAAGTGTAAATATCACTTTTTTTCTTTTGTCAAACACAATTGCCGAATATAAAGTACCCATAGTAATAGAAAAGATAATGTCTAATGAATACAACTTTTTAAAAATCAAATATAAAATGATCAAAAACCCTTAACTTTTTAATGACACCTCCTGAGAAAGTTTTCCATTCAAATTTGCATACCTAACAAATATATATTTTTGCCTTTCTCCACATGAGTGGTGAGGAACTTAGCCTGGGAAGGGACAGATGGAAGTATGTTCCAATGGAAAGTAAAAAATGTTATATTCCGTCAGTGGGTACTTGTCCCCCATTGCAAACTAACATCACAAGATTTATGAAATAGACTAAAGTAGGCCAGCCTATTGGGAACTAAATTGTAGATAATTCCAGTCTTAAAATGCTTGCATTGCTTTTACCCATCCATTTCTATTGATAGCTCAGTTTGAAGCAGAAGCATGTTACTGAGATGCCAGAGTTGGTTTAAATTAACAAAGCCCCATTGGCTCGGGACCTCATGTCCAGTGACTTCCAAGCTAGGGCACACATGGTATTTATAGTACTGACTCTCCCAATATTGTGCTCACCTTCATTTATTCTCCATAATTGATAATGACAAGTAGAATCCAATGTACAGCTTGAGATCTTAAAGGTAGGATCATCTGAAGAGCGGACAACAGTCTAAGAGATCTATTTGGTTTGTGTTATTAAACTTCTTGAAACTCAGCTGCTATGTATTGATGTTCCTCATTACATATGTGACCCAGGTAGCCATGGAGACCTCAGATCTTGCATTTGTCATAGGCATCTTTCAGTTTCAAAGAGAAACCTTGTTTCCTCCCCAAACTATTTAGTATTGGTAAGTTCATCATAAAATATTTTATGTATCCCTGCTGATTTGCTTGTGATGCCCCAGGTCCGGAGACACGCAAACAGGAAGGCAGACAAGACACCTGCCTGCCCTTTAGGATCTACCAATGTGTTCCCTCTCCTCCCCACCCCCCACCCCCATGCCCAACACGCACGCACTCCTACCCACAGTCGGCTAATGAACATTTCCTCAGCGCTCACCCAGCTCTCGCCAGGGTGCTCAGCGGTGTGCTTTACAACATATTGAAAAATGAAAATGATATCCTCGGGGGCGCGTAATGTAGATCTGAGAGGGAAAATACATTCCCTGGCCGGGGATTTCTTAAACATTTACAGCTGATGAAGTAGTTGTTGTAGAGGTTGGGGAATTTCCCCAGCCTTCCCCCGTTAGCCTAGGCCGAAGCTGAGCTAAGCGCGTACTGAGACGCGCAGGCTTTGGGATTTACCTCTTCAGCCACTGGGAGGCCCTCTGCGTCCCCCGTCCCTCGGTGCCTGGCTGCAATTACTCACTCGTGCAGTGGCACCAGCCTTCCACCAGGGAGCCTCGGATACGCTCTCCC